AGGTGCTGGTTTCAGCACTCCCGAGGGGAGCCGCCAGGGGGTATCTCACTCTTCCGTTCGCGCCCAGATTGCGTCGATGTCTCCAGCGGTTCGCCTGTTTGCTGCTGCAGCGTCCTCCGCTTTCGGAGCAGATTTGGAGGATGTTTCGGGCGAGCCGGTGGTTTTTGCACCCCAGGCTGGGGCCCAGATCGCGAGGACTTCTCGAGCGGTTTGCTTGTTTTGGTGGTCAGATCTGGTTTGCTTTCAGAGCACATTTTGAGGATGTCTCGGGCGAGGCGCTGGTTTCAGCACTCCCACGGGGGAGCCGCCAGGGGCCATCCCTTTCCTCAGCTCGCGCCCAGGATCGCGTCGGTTTGCTTGTTTGCTTCTGCTGCAGCATCCTCCGCTTTCGGAGCATCTTTGGAGGATGTCCCGGGCAAGGCGGTGGTTTTCGCACCCCGGGGGTGCAGATGGCAAGGAAAGGATTGCGTGTTTTGGTGGCGAGACTCGCTCGTGGGCACGGATCCCCCCCAGGATGCCCCAGGAGGCCCCAGGCGGCCCCAGGCGGCCACAAGAGGCCCCAGGAGGCGTCGGGAGGCCACAGGAAGCAGGAGGACCAGGGTAAGCCCCAAACGGATCACCGATGTTGCAGTAAACTGTGCCGGGCGTGGTCTTACAAACCCGGCTGTTCCATGTTTTTTTGTCTTTTGTTTGCGTTGCCTCCGCTTCCGCTTCCAGATGCGTGGCCCCGCAGCTGCCTCAGGGACGCGCCCAGCCAGCCCAGCCCCCACGAAGCTTCAGTTGCCCCCAGGGGGCGGGAGGTGCACGGGCAATCCGCAGCTCGCTGGAAACCGCCCTGCACCCCCAGGCAGGCCCCAAAGGCACCACCAGGAATTGAGCCCAAGTAGGTCACACTGTGGGAGAAGGTCTGCCCCATTTCGCTACAATTTACCCAACTTTGGAAGGGAAAGGGGGGCATCTTCTGCTTGCCCCTTTCTATTGCCCTTTCCCATTTCACTACATTGCCTCAGGCAGGCGGGGGGGGGGGGGGGGGGACGGTGGGAGGTGCCTGCGGCTGCTGTGCCTGTGCTTGCTGTGGCCAGGAGCCAAGGTCTCACACGCGCCCTCGCCCCATCAATGCAGGGCCTCCTGGAAAGCTTCTGGAGGCTGCGGGGGCGCGGGCCCCAGACGCCCCAAATCTCCCCCCCCCCCCCCGGCAAGTTGGGGTGCAACAAACATGCCCCTCAGGGCAATCGAACTGCAAACGCGGGAAACATTGCCCGCATACTTGCGGCTGTGGTGGCTGCAGTGAAGTAGTAGTAGGAGTAGTTGCGGCGGTCGTGGTAGTGGTGCGTGTAGTTGCAGTAGTGGCAGCGGCGATGGCAATCCTAGTGGCAGTGGCCGTGGCGGCAGTGGTGCAAGTAGTGGCTGCGGTGGTGGTGGTGGTGGTGGCAATGGCAGTGGAAGCGGCGGCGGTAGCACTAGAAGCAGTAGTAGTAGTAGTAGTAGTAGTAGTAGTAGTAGTAGTAGTAGTAGTAGTAGTAGTAGTAGTAGTAGTAGTAGTAGTAGTAGTAGTAGTAGTAGTAGTAGTAGCAGTAGTAGTAGTAGTAGTAGTAGTAGTAGTAGTAGTAGTAGTAGTAGTAGTAGTAGTAGTCGTAGTCGTAGTAGTAGTAGTAGTAGTAGTAGTAGTAGTAGTAGTAGTAGGCAGTAGGTAGTAGGTCGTAGGTCGTAG